CCCAGAGGTTGCAAAGTGCCTAAGTGGAAAACGTATTGTTTCTTTAGCTCGCATACTGCTTGGTTGGATCATTGTAGCAGGCCCAGGACAGAAATGCTAGCACGACAGCAGGGTAGTTCCTTGAAATGGCAAGCAGCTGGAACATTGGGATCATTCCTACGGATAGAATGCAGAGTTCTGCAAAATAGTCACCCAGTCCCTGTTTGGCGTCACCAATGTAAAGGAGACTGTATTGTGCACAGCAAATTCAGTAGACTAGATTGAATGAAGTACAAGGAAAACTCTGCCTCACTTGGAAAGTATGTTTGGGGCCTTGGGCAGTGAGTAGGGAGGTGGTGAATGGGCAATTATTATACCTTCTCAGATTGCATGGGTGATGGTTGAGGAAGTGTTAAAAACAATGGAGGAACAGACCAGGGTGTCACGGAGGGAACAGTCCTTGCGGAATGCTGACACTGGAAGTGGAAGATATTTGTATCATCTACAGCGAAGAGTGAGGTGCTGGGTGGACTGGAGGGTGGCTAATGTTGTGCCTTTATATCAGAAAGGGTGTAAGGAGAAACCTGGGAACTATAGACTGGTGAGTCTGACATCAACAGTGGCTAAGTTGTCGGAGGGGATTCTGAGAAATAGAATTTACATGCATTTGGAGAGGCAAGGATTGATTAGGGCTAGGTAGCACAACTTTGTGTTTGGGAAATCGTGTCTCACAAATTTGATTAAGCTTTTTGAGGATGTAACTGAAAAGATTAATGAGGGCAGAGCTGCAGACCTTCTATACATGGACCTTATTAAAGCCTTTGACATGGTTCCACGTGGTTGACTGATTAATAACGTTAGATCACATGGGATTCAGGAAGAGCTTGACAACTGAAACACAAAATTGGCTCAAGAGTAGAAGACAGAGGGTGGTGGAGAGTTGTTTTTTGGACAAGAGGACTGTGACCAGTGGTGTTCCACAGGGACTGGTACAGGGTCCACTGTTTGTTTTTTAAAAAGATGAGTTGGATGAGAATTTAGGAGGCATGGTTACTAAGTTTGCAGATGACATTAAAATTGGTGGCACAGTTGACAGTGAAGTAGTCTAAGATTACAAAGAGATGTTGATCAATTGGGCCAATGGGCCAGGGAGTGGCAGATGGCGTTTAATTTGGATAAATGTTATGTTCTGCTATAACAGCTGTTTTGTTAATACGAATTGGCTGTAACGCAATTGATGAATAGTGGACACTGGATAACACAAGCTTTCTGCTGTACAGGTATTGTGATTTGCTATGGCCATTTTCTATCGCGTGATTTTCTGTAGCGAGGTCACACAAGAACGCAACAATCGCATTATAAGAAAACTACCTGTATTGCATTTGGTAAAGCGAACAAGGGCAGGTTGTATACAGTTAATGGTAGGGAGCTGGGTAGTGTGGTTAAACAGAAAGGCCTAGGGGTTCTTTGAAATATGCATCACTGATACACAGGGTAGTGAAGTATTTAGCGCATACCTTCATTGCTTGGATCAACCAGCACAGGAGTTGGGACATCATGTTGAGGTAATACAGGACATTAGTGAGCCACTTCTGGAATACTGTGTACAATTCTGGTTGCCCTACTGTAGAAATACTATTATTAAATTGGAGAGGGTTCAGACAAAATTTACCAGGATGTTGCCAGGACTGGAAAATTTGAGTTAAGGGCAGGCTGGGACTTTTTTCACTGGAGCGTCAGAGGTTGAGGAGTGACCTTATAGAGGCTTATAAAATCAGGAGGGGCATAGATAGGGTGAATAGCAAAGATCTTTACCCTGGGGCGGATGAGCTCAAAACTAGGGGACATATTTTTAAGGTGAGAGGAGAAAGATTCAAAAGGGACCGGAGAGGCAACAGTTTTCACACAGTGATTTGTACGTGAAATGAACTGCCAGGAGAATTGGCAGATACAGGTACGGTTACAACATTTTAAAGACATTTGGACAGGTACATGAATAGGAAAGGTTTAGAGGGATGTGTGCCAAATGCAGGCAAGTGGGACTACTTTGGGAAACTTGGTTGGTATGGATGAATTAGGCCATAAGGTCTGTTTCCATGCTGCGTGATTCTACCTAGGTAGCATCTTGTTGAAGTGTCAGAAATGGCAGAGGACAATCCTTGGAATATGGAGATGAGTGGAGTGATAAATAAGGACAAGGGAAACCTTGTTATTCATCTAGGAAGGAAGTTAAGCGGTGAGGGCAGAAGTGCTGCTGAACTGTTCTTCATTTCTGCCATCCAGGAAACAATCTGGTGCATCTTTTTTACACATCCTTCTCTATTTTCCCCCGAGATATGAAAACCAAAATTGCACACAGTACTCTAGGTGTGGTCTAATCCAACACATCACTACTCCTATACTCAAATCTTCGTGTAATAAAGGCAAATATTCCATTAGCCTTCCTAACAGGTTGCTGTGCCAGCATGTTAGTCTCAGTGAATTACTGACAACACCTAGGTGCTGTTGTGCACATGCACCTCCAACCTTTCACAATTTAAGAAAAAACTCTGCACATCTGTTTTGCTTACCAAAGTGGATAACCACCTATTTTTCCCCACATTATATTCCAACAAACATGCCCTTGCCCATGCACCAAGCACGTCCAAATCCTTCTGTAGTTGCTTTATATCTTCCTCACAACAAAGACTCCCACTTAGCGTTGTTTTATCCATGAATTTGGAAATATTACATTTGGCTCCCACCTCCAAATCATTGATATATATTTTGAACAGCTGTAACCCAAGTACTGATCCTGGAGGTACTCACCAGTCAAAACCTGTCAATACAAGAATGACCCATTTATTCCTTCAATCCAGGAAACTCTTACCCTCCCTGATGCTCCACACTGACGTCAGCTACCCCTCCTCTGAGGCACCTTCTACACTCCTGATCCCCCAAATGTAAGATACAGAAATGCAAACAAGTCTCAGCTGTCCATCATAACCTTAAAAAAACAAAAAAAAAACAAACTGAGTTTTAGAATCTAGTTCGCATGTTATTCATGCTTAATTTTAATTGATACCTCCAGAAAGACTCCTATTATGTGCTAATTTACTCAGCGCAATTGAATTTTTTAAATTGAAGAAACAGGAAATTGCAGATATTGGAAATCTGATACAAGAACAAAAATGTTCGAAATACTCAGCAGTTCAAGCAGTATGTGTAGGGTGAGAAACAGAGTTAGTATTAAACAATGAGCAGAATTAGGTCATTGGCCCTCAAAGCCTGCTCCACCATTCAGTAAGGTTATAACATTCAACAGATCCTGCTTTTTTATTTGAAATTGTTTGTTGTTTTGCATTATATTAGTCAGAGGATACTGCTGAGGGAAACAGAAAGCCATTCCACCCTACAGCCAAGATTACTGTCATCAAGTCAATGCAGGAAAATCTGTGTTGGAACAGAAAGTGCATACATGTTCTACCTAACCATAAGTCTGATCTCAGAGTGTTTACTCCACACACCAGGTGGTTAAAATGCCAACATTCACATCCCATCTTTAAGTAATAACCACTGGCAAAATAAAACTTGTAAAAAAGCAGCAATATGCTACAGCCTATTTCCCCCCAGTATGCAACAGCTCCAAAATGTCTCCCAGAGAAAGCTAAAGCCAACCCCCCTATTAGAAATCAGCGGACCGACTGCCAGACTTACAGAATTCATCAGTAAATCTCCTGTAGCCTCCGAGCTCAGGAGACAATTTGGTTCATAAATGTGATTTTTAAAATACAAACAAACATTTCTGAAAAAGGGAACAAAGACCCTGCAAAAATGCTATCCCCTATTCCCAATTCCTTCGCCTCCGCCGCATCTGCTCCCAGGATGAGGCATTCCACTCCCGTACATCTCAGTTGTCCTCGTTTTTCAAGGAAAAAAAAGTCTCCCACATCTCCCGCACCTCATCCCTCACACCCCGTCCACGCAATAAAAACCAAAAAAGAATCCCCCTCGTCCTCACGTACCACCCCACCAACCTCCGGATCCAACGCATCATCCTCCGACACTTCCGCCATCTGCAATCCGACCCCACCACCAAAGACATCTTTCCCTCCCCACCTTTATCTGCTTTCCGGAGGGACAACTCTCGCCGTGACTCCCTTGTCCGCTCCACACTCCCCTCCAGCCCCACCACACCCGGCACTTTTCCCTGCAACCGCAGGAAGTGCTACACCTGCCCCCATACCTCCTCCCTCACCCCCATCCCAGGCCCCAAGAAGACTTTCCACATCAAGCAGATGTTCACCTGCACATCTGCCAATGTGGTATACTGCATCCGCTGTACCCGGTGTGGCTTCCTCTACATCGGGGAAACCAAGCGGAGACTCGGGGACCGCTTTGCAGAACACTTACGCTCGGTTCGCAACAAACAACTGCACCTCCCAGTCGCACATGTCCATCCTGGGCCTCCTGCAGTGCCACAACGATGCCACCCGAAGGTTGCAGGAACAGCAACTCATATTCCGCTTGGGAACCCTGCAGCCCAATGGTATCAATGTGGATTTCACAAGTTTCAAAATCTCCCCTCCCCCTACCGCATCCCAAAACCAGTCCAGCTCGTCCCTGCCTCCCTAACCTGTTCTTCCTCCCACCTATCCCCTCCTCCCACCTCAAGCCGCACCTCCATCTCCTACCGACCAACCTCATCCCGCCCCCTTGACCTGTCCGTCCTCCCTGGACTGACCTATCCCCTTCCTAACTCCCTACCTACACTCACCTTTCCTGGCCCCATCCCCGCCTCTTCGACCTGTTTGTTTCCTCTCCACCTATCCTCTCCTCTATCCCTCTTCTATCCGCCTCCCACTCTCTCCCTATTTATTTCAAAACCCCCTTCCCCTCCCCCTTTTCTGATGAAGGGTCTAGGCCCGAAACGTCAGCCTCTCTGCTCCTATGATGCTGCTTGGCCTGCTGTGTTCATCCAGCCCTGCACCTTCTTGCCCCTATACTTTATTTGCATTGAAAGAAAATTTAAAGAAGCTCACCTGTATCTTTATGGGCCAGGTGAAGTTGTTGACGTACACAAAGAAAGTTATATTGGGATTGTTACGAAAATCAAACTTCTCATTGGAGAAGCTGTCCTTGTATTCCTTAATATTAGTTTTTGAAACAATTGGCATTTCTTCTCCAGGTGGTGTGCCCGCTGAAGTAGAGAGAAAAAAAAAAAAATCATTCTTTAAAATCTTACAATGTACACTCAATTTACAAACTCAACACTGCTAAAGGTTAAGTAAAATAATTCATAATATTAATAGAGCTCATGCAAGGCAGAGACAAACAGTATTTTTATACAGCCATTGTAATCTCTGGAGCAAAGTGATTACACTTTTACCAACAGCTGCTTTGATGCTACACACAGCACAAAATCACTCATCAACTTCTGCTCTTAGCTGCATGCATGGTATGACGATGTGCAATTGGACTGAAACTAATATGGGAAAACATGCCAAATTATTTCACTGTTGTGTATTATGAAATAAGATCAAACACTGAGCCACAAAAGGAAATACTGGGTCAATGATATTTGTTTTCGGGAGAGTCTGGAGTCTTGAAGGTGAAAGAGGCTGAATAATTCAGGGAGGGTGCTCCATTGCCTCAAAGACTGAAGGCACAGCAGCCAATGGAAGAGCAAATAAAGTTGGAATTGCTCAAGAAGAGAAAACTCAGAGGGGATTACAGGGAAAAGCGGACTTTGCCCTGTCTGTTTCATAAATATATTTTTTTTTAAAAAAAAACTTTAGTCTGGCTCTCTCACTTGATTAATTTTTATTTCTGGCCTTGACTAGCCAACTACACCACATTTGCTCTTCATCACATCACTGCACTTCATCTACCATTCCTATCCAGCGACATCTTACATTGCTGGAATCATGTATCCTTTCAATTTGCTGACAACAATATTATTAGTTATTTACTTGGCCACCAAAAACAAAGCAGTTCTTTACAAATTGCAGCAATACATTCCATACCCAAAATCATTAAACTTCAGCAAGAAGCACTGCTAAGAGGTTAGATAGTTTATTTTAATTTATTCTCAGGATGGGAGAGTGGGTTTGTTTGCTGGGCCAGCATTCACTGCCCATCTTTAATTGCCCAGAGGGTAGTTAAGAGTCAATCACATTGCTGTGGGTCTGAAGTTACATGTAGGCAAGATCAGGTAAGGATGGCAATGCATCCTTACTGTTTTCCGATGAACATATCTGCGACATGGTCCCCAAAACCTGCTTTATTTTTGAGGGTGTTGGTGACAGAAAAAAAATATAAGATGAACGTGAATACAATGTGCTATTCTAAGCATTGGTCATTTTTGACTTTGTTCAAAGTTAACAAATTGACCATCTCATGCAAGAATGCTATTTTCTCCCAGCTGGATTTAGGCTAATCCATATAGTATAGAAATACGAAGTTTGCCATAATGGTTTAAGCCAATTTGGTTGAAACCGACAAACTGTGATTCAATAAAACAATGTCCTAATATTTCCACTGGAGGCTCTTTGCAGAAGACAAAGCCAGAAAGCACTACATTCTGGCACTTTATTCCACTGGTCTTACAAACTTTATCAAAAGCATAGCTGAAAGCACAGAAGTACACAAACAAAATACTATACATTGTTTCAAGCCTGCCTCCGGTTGAGTTAGGTCTGATCAGTGTCTCAATTTTGTTTTACCGACTTTGACCTATATTTCTTAATATCTTTATCTAAAAAGTATTTATGAAACTCAATCCTCGAAATTGTAAATGGGTACAATAGCACACAGTGGTTATGTTGCAGGATTAAATGAACTTGGAAGCTTGGACCAATGATCCAAAGACATCAGGTCAATCCCATGACTGCAGATACAGATTTCAATTTTCCTTTTTTATTTATTCACTTGGAGGACATGGGCATCGCTGGCTGGCCAGCATTTATTGCCTGACCCTAACTACCCTTCAGCTGTCATCTTGAACTTGTGCAGTCTATGTGTTGCAGGTAGACTCACAATGGCCTTTGGGAGGGAATTCCAGGATTTTGATCCAGTGACAGTGAAGGAACAGAAATGTATTTACAAGCCAGGATGAGGAATGGCATGGAGGGGAACTTGCAGGTGGTGGTGCTCCCATTTATCAGCTGCCCTTGTCCTTCTGGATGGAAGTGGTCAAGGGTTTTGAAGGTGCTGTTTAAAGAAGCGTTGGTGAATTTCTGCAGTGCATCTTATAGAAAGGACACACTGCTGCTACTAAGGTGGAGGGAGTGGATACTTATGGATGTGGTGCCAATCAAGCAGGCTGCTTTGCCCTGGTTGGTGCCAAGCTTCTTGGATGTTGTTTTCACCAAATTCAATTATATCAGGAATGACAACCATGAACTACCAGAATGATGTAAAGGCCCATGTGGTTCACATGTCATTTAGGGAAAGGAATCTCTGCCCTGTTTATTTCTACATCAACTGGCTCAGAACTGTTAAAGATGTGATTACAAACCGTGGAGCAGGTGGGACCACCATCCAGGCCTCCGAGTTCAGAGGCAGGAACACTACCACTGTACTGCAAGAGGCGCTGCCTTACCACTGGATTGTTAAAAGGAAATTTTTATTTTCCTTCCTCACTTAAGAGGCAAAAGTGGAGAATGTAGAATATAGAGCCACATTAGTGCAAGGGCTGAACTAGCTGAATTATTGTTGTTTCTACTTTCTACAGCGATATGAGATATGAAATCTCTTTTCCTTAATTCATTTGAATGATTATTTGCATTAACCTTACCTAAAAAGCTACTCGACCACGTTATGTTAAGGTTGAAATTCTTTGACGCATTAATAAACATGTCCAAGTCTCGGTTTTGCTGAAAGAAAATGTGTAAAATGTTACAAAAGAAGTTTCCAGACAATTAATAACTAACTATTAATGGAGTGGAAAGAACAATAAGCAATATTGATGACTGCGAAACTCTGGGTCTGGGTAACATATTGACGCATTTCAAGAAGGTAGACACCTTTTAAAAACCATCAAGAGTCAGGTCATTTACACAAAAGGCAACAACAGGATCATGTGTAGGTGCAATCATCATAATACACTCAAGCTATATATGCAGAACTTCTCAAGATTAAGCACCAAGCATAACTGAAGGCTGCAAAACATACAAAGCAGCCAAGTTATTAACACAGAGGTCCATTCAAAACACCCAATTTCCCAGGTTTTCCTTGGAAGCCTGTACTTGTTTCCAGCTCCACATTTCTCACTATCCTTACAGAACATCTGAGGAGGATTGTCAAATTAATAGCTACTAATGCCATGTATGAATTTGTATCCTGTAGATTTGTCTGTAAGAAACAGGCAAAAGGCACAAACTCACTTCTAACAGAGGCCTGAACCAGTTTAAAGTCCCAACTAAATTCAGTGCCTGGGAATACTTACTTCCTCAGGAGTGGCTACAAAGTTGATGGCAGTGTAGTAACGGTCATCCTCTTGAGAGAGGCTGAATGTGAACTGGTAGTCAATCAGTAGAGTATCTGTGAAAGGTATTAAAATAATGAGCTGAAATGCTGGACCACAGCAGTTCGAATCACAAGTATTCATCTCAACTATCCTATCTTTATCGATATTATATTTCCTAAAAATATTCCAAGACTTTCTTTCCAATCATTTTAAATTGAAGTTACTTAGAAAATAAAAACTCAAAACAGACAGTAAAATAAAAGTTAGCAAACTTAACAGTGTAAAACATCCAAAGACGCATCACAGTAGAATGAGAAAACAAAATTTGACACCAATTCACAAACGATAACATAAAGAAAGATGACCAAGGAGATGGATTTTAAGGAGCACCTTTAAGAGGAAATGAAAGGAAGTGAGGTGGGTGTCTGTGTGTGGAATCTTGAGCTTCAGCATTGAGAAGGCATAGCTGTCAGCTGTGGAGAGATTTCAATTGGGATGCTCCAGAGGTCAGATGTGAAACAAAGACATCCGAGGATTGTAGGCTAGACGTGATTACAGAAACAGCAAGGGGGAAGGTGGAAGATGGAGGAGGAATCTGGATTGAGTATTACTGAAAAGAATTCATTTTGTCGAAGTGTAAGATGAATATCTTAGGACAATTAAGAATAACAAAATGGAGGCATTATTGAAATGGAAACTAATGTAGGTGACTGAGCACAAGGGTGATGGGTGAACAAGTCTTCATACTATTTGGAGCACAGGCAGAATTTTGAATGCCCTCAATGTTATAGATGGGAAAATGTCGGACTGGCCCAGAGTTCATTGGAATAACCAAGTCTAGAATTAGCTATGGTACGGTTCAGGATTTCAGCAGATCAGTTGAGGCAGGTGTCGAGTCAAGCAATGTTAGAGAGGTGAAAACTGATGGTTTATTTATAATGCAGCTGTGGTCAGAAGCTCACCTCAGAGTCAAAAAAATCTAACGACTAAAATAAAAATCAAAACTTGTTATTCTAAAGGCTGTTTCATATCTATTGCCTGTCCATGAACTGCAGCAGTGGAAGTGACTACTTTATTATTGCCATCGGGATCAAACCCATCTTCACACTGAACACACCCTTACAGTCCTAAATGGATTTAGAAACAAATCTAACAATTCAAAACTTTGCATCCATGCTGTTATGTGGAGTCTTAGCGGAACTATACACCACCATCTGAAATAAATCCCTTGTTCCAGATGACTCATTCTACTTCAATGAAATATGTAGAACAGCATGTGAGAAAAGCACCAGCATTAGTTTAAGAGCAGCTGCAAATTGATTAAGTTGTAACATATAACCAGGTGCATTCTAAAACTGTTTCGTACAAGTAGCACGTGACAGATCTGAGTATCAACAGACGCAATTCAAAGCTTTGGCAACCCCAGTCATCGACAGATAGAAAAATAAATAACTGACAGGAGCCAAAAGCTCCATCCATAGTCCAATCTGAAACAAGGATGGATACCAACAGATCAGGAAAGGCAAAAAGCTGAAGCATTCATTATTATTTTTAATCAGAAGTGTCAAATGAATAACTTTTCTGACTTCTTCCAAGGATCTTTTCATCACAAAATGTCAGTCTTCAATTAACTCGACGTGACTTTGAGAAATGGTTGACTGCACTGAACACAAAGGCCACCATCAACAATGTTTTAAACTGTATTGTTGAAAACCTGTACTTCAACTTGCTGGGCCTCTCGGCAACTCCAGTACAGTTGCAACACTGCATTCACCCAGCAATGTGTAAAATTGTTCTAATTTGTCCCGACGGCAAAAAGCAAAACAAATCCAAAACAGACAATCACCATTCTATCAGCCTTTTCTCAATCATCAGCAAAACGCCAGAAGGAATTGTTTGAAGTCCTTAGATTGCATTGTCAATCACCTGCTCAACAATTCTCAGTTTAGG